TTTTGACAATCCCCCATGTGGCTTCCTTTTCGGATTGAGGCAGTTCAGCATGCAGCTGCTATTGCCACCACCCCGGAGTGGGAGCAAGTCTTCCACACCTGGACCTTGGAGTATGTCCCATGGCTTGAATTTGCTTCTTTCGTTCTGTGGCTCTCTGTGACCACCGTGAAGGTATTCTGTGGTTTGCCGGGAACTCGTAGACAGTTGAAAGGTCAGTACCTGCGAGCTTCCGCGAGTGTGAGGGTTCAGGCGGTAGAGCATCACAAGTGCCAAGCAATTGGGAGATAAATGTTTTTCCCCCAATTGTTTGGGGAAATATTTCTCCCTTAACTGTTTGGGGAAAATACTTTTTCCCGAACTGTTTGGGGAACATATTCTCCCCGAGTTGATTATTACCATAATTTTTTCTCGCATTGCATCATGTTGCTTGTTTCAGGAGAGGGATTTCGTCTCAATGCGCGTGGACCGGCAGGATGGGGTTGCTGTTCTTTTCCTTTTGTTATGCTAGGGTCATATGGGGTTATATGGGGATAATGGAAATGAAAATGGAAACTACTACAATGGGTTACCTAGGATTTAGACTGAGGGGCTTTTTCTATCCTGTCACCGCTGCCTCAAATTCTGCCGTTCCATGTGAGTTCAGAAGCCCCGAACTCCTAGATAAAGGATTACAATAGTACCCCCCCACAATTATACTAGGGTTCTAAATCTGGGGGGGGATACCTTTGCGGAGGCACTATTGTAATCCCTTACTGGAACCTCAGAGTGGTGCCAGCAAGAACAGCCGTTATGGCCAACAACCACATGAGAACGAAGGCACTTCCACTTTCCATCTGCATCCCCCCCTCTATGGGATGTTCAAGAAGCTGAAGCTCCCACCAAAGGTAGCTAGCGAGTTTTTTTTTAACACTTTGAATGTAAGTGGGCGCTGGTGTTTTCAGATTGGGAGTATAACCTGACATTAGCGGAAGGGAGTCATGGAGGACCTCTTATAGTGACATTCACTGCTAGCAATGATGTAGAAATAACACTGCTACAAACAATTTTAAAGCATACCTGAACCCAAACTCCCGGAATCCATAACTCTGCACCTTAAGACCTAAACCCAACATCCCAAACCTTCTAACACTCCAACCTATACCCTTAAAGCCTTATTCCCTGAACCCTGAAACCCCTATACCCTGAACCCTATAGTAACTTCCATTTCATCTTTAATGTGCCTTTCCATCTCATTCTCTATTTTCGATCATACTCCCCCATGCCCATGTAATCTGTGTACAACCCCTACATAATCCCTATGCCATTTATTCAGTATAACCGTTATATAGCTATGTAAGGGCTATAAAGCCTCCATTTAATCATCGTATAATCCTTGTACAACTTTATAAGGCCTATAAACTCCCGTGAAATCACTAGATGATCCCTCCCAAACCCTAAACCCACCCAGCCCACAGGAGATCATGAGACTGGACCTCTCAGTAGCGGATCCGGTCCGCACCACGTGGCCGAACCCTTTCAAGGCGGACAACAAGTCCCCCGGCTACGGTTTACGGCTTTAGGGGTTTGGGGTGTCAGGCTTAGAGCTTTAGGGTCTTGGGGTTTAGGATTAAGGGCTTAGGGTTGACGGTTCGGGGTTTACGGTTTAGGCGGTTTAGGCTTCAGGGCTTGGAGCTTTCCTGGAAAGTGGCTGCAGGGTTTCTTGCTATAAGCTTGCTGGTGGCAGGTAGGCAAGTGGAGGACCGGATCCCTGGAGTGTTCGTAATACAAGCCCCAGGAAGGGTCCCGCATGTTCCTCGACTCCTTTACCACCAGGACATCACGCATGACCCAAGCCCCTGAGCCATGGGCGTTATACTTTAGGTCAACCCTCCTGTAGCAACAGCATCTTGATATGGAAGTAAACGGGCCTTTAAAAACCTACCCTAGTCCCTTGTGGTACCCATTACTGGGTGGGGGGTGAACCGAAACTATAATGACTAATCATGCCTGGGAATTTTCGGCACCTTCATGGTGCTTTGAAGGCCCGAGCAAGAGCTGGAAGAAGCTGATGCATGTGGATTCTCAGGGTTTTCCGGAGATGGTCCTGCGCAATCTCCATACCCCAATGACCATGAGGTTTTCCAAGGCAGCAAATGTAAGTAGGGCAACAGCGTGTTGCCTGCGGCCCTGACGCCAATGTTCAAGCCCGCGCTGTGCAACTGGTAGTTCCCCCGTAAGAGGCGTAGGAGGGGCACCCCAAAAAGGCACCTTAAGTTTTTGGATCTCTCCAAACTTGAAACTCTGAAGCAGTTGAGGTTCTTCCTCATCCTGAACCTCGCAGTTGGTGGCCACTCCGGGGGTGACCCCTCCGAGTCAGATTTTCCGGTGAAGTTCGAGGTGGACTACATCAAGTACTTCCAGAAGAAGAGCCGAACTGAGCGGTAGCACTCCAGAGTGCCAAGAGTCGCGATTCTGGCGCGCAAAAGTTGTTTCTGGAGAAGTGAGAGCAGAAGCCTCTTCCATACAAGGGAGCCCAGGGCCCTGCATGCATGAACTTAATCCCAAGGGACGCCAAACTTTGGCACTTGAGCCCTGGCGGTATTGGCAAGGCAGCTACATCCCAGTGGCTTGCTACCGCCTTGACAACGACAACTGAAACAGAGGAGGCCGGGTGCAGCTTGAAGGAGCTTACCGAGAGCTATAGTTCCTCTCAAGTAGATAGAACTATAGAACATAGGGTATGTTGAACCTTATTGTAATATCGGGGCACTTCCATGTTCGATCTACTCAGCGGGGACTGTATTCAGAATTTGCAATTTCTGTTGCAACTTGACTTTGGGAACTCTTACTTCACTTGAGGGTTTACTGAGGGCTAGTGACTAGTGGCCATCAGCTTCAAAATGCAGAAGCAAGTTCTGATGCAAGCAGGCACGTTTCTGCTGAAGGTCTTGCAAAAAGATTTCAAAACCCGGTGGAATGGGGTAGCGCCCTAAATCTAGACCACGTGCAGACCATTTTAAGCGAAGAGTTGTGTTTGGAATCATCTCACTTTCAGGAAGGCCCAACAGAAGTGATGTGGGAGCTTCTCACCCATTTAGAATCCGGAGCAACCCCACATATTATGCCTGAAGCCTAGCATCCCCCAGCAGGGCCGAGAGCTGATCCTGGCTGGGGCTGGGCAGCTCTTCTCCTGCCTGGCGATCTCCAGGCCTCACTTCCCTGTCAAGAGTCACCGCCTGTTCTGTCTGCTAGGCATCCAGCATTGGCAGTGTACGGCTTCTCTGAGATCGTCTAAAACCCTCCTCATGAACCGTGTAATAGAGTCAACGAAAGAACCGCTCACTGCAGATCCGGGGTTGCCTCGCGCGACGAGTGGGTGCACCTGGGATGGCAAGTGGCAAAGTTTTTGAGCTTGAGCTTGGGATTAAGAGCAGCCCCAGAGCAAGCAAAAAACATGGTTAACGCTTGCCTGTTTTGAGCCTGCCCCCCTGCCCCACCCCACACCGATCCCAATGCACTCACTTTCTGCCATTCTCTGAAGCCTAGGCACTACTGGCTACTTCGCGGAAGCGCGCCCAGTACCGCCCCAAGAGGTAGTCATTTTGGGCGGGCTTGTTTCGTTGGCTCCTGTAACAAGAACTAACTGTAGTACGTTGAGGCATATGAGGGCGGACCATGTTTTGCAGGCCCCATGCTTGGCAAATACCCAGACAAGGTTCAGATGAAACCGAGGTTTGCAATACTGTGGATGGAGGAAATCTCGCACCACCTTACATGCCCTATACCCTAGGAATCCCAGTGTTATAGAGTTCCCAAAAGGTACAAGCTGTCCTCCCTCCATTGTACGTAGGGTTTGGACTCTGGAGAGACCATGGGTTTGGGGCTTTGGAGGGCTTAGGGACACTCTTGAGGGACGCAGTTGCAATCTCCCCCTAATTCAACTAACAACCCTACACCCCTAGAATCAGATACACACCAAATACTTCTATATCCACAATCTAAATATCTACTATTCGGGGGCAGCGCACAATGGTGCTTTTTGGGGATAGCCATACCGTTTATGAAGAAAGCCCTATATGAGGAGATTTCTGGAAAGAGGGCTAATCTGGGGACGCTAGGGGACTACACAGAACAAGGGTTTTCTGTGAGAAATCTGTAGGGGTCACTTAGAGAAGCTTCCATATGTGGAGAGGGTGCAGGCAGAAATGATGTAGAAGGTGGCCTGCTCAAGCTCTTGTCTCTGGGTGCTGGGCAAGCTGTATTGTCCTTACCGTCCTTACCCATCTTCAACCCAAATTTGATTTACTGTCCCGGGGATGGCCACCTATGATGAGGTTTCGGAATCATTCTAGTTTTGGGTGTTCCTGTGACTTCCTGAGGCCACTATGCGCTGACAATCCTACAGGCTTGCTGATCTGGCTTTGAGGGGCGGGCAACGTGATCTCAGATCCTCTAGATTTGGATGGCTCAGCATTTGGGGAGGGCTGTTCTAGACCCATTTGCAAGTCCAACATGTCTGGGTCGCTGCAGCATGTGGGAAGTTTCGAGACAGACATCTGTCCTCTTTTGTGCCTTTCCTATGCTCTACTATCGATTTTAACCTTATTAAGGGAATCTTGGTTTAGTCTAGTCCCCAATAAGGACCCATGTCCAGCAATTATCTGGGTAATGTTGATTGTGGCTCCTATGAAGCATCCCCTATCAGATAGCCAAGAAGGAACACGTTCCAAGACCCTAACCTATCTTACAATTGTTGTAGTTCACCGTCATACTGCCACTGATTAGTCCCCTCCCATTACAACTCGGCCTCCCCACCTCCCGAACATCAAACATTCACTTTGAGAGATGTAATTCTTGGCGGACATCATTGGTTTCAGAGGTGTGTGCTGGTGGTAAGTAGGGAATAAGGGAATATAATGCCTATATGGCCCTTATAGAATATGTGCCCTTATTCCCTACGAACCCTGAGTAAGATAAGGGCAGGCGGTGAAGCTCACAAGTGCAGATACCATAACCCATATTTTTTCGTACCTTATGATACTGTGGTAGTTTCCAATGTCTTTTCCACCATTATGTCATCCCTATATATTCCTTATTATGCCGTAGTAGTTTCCATTTTCTTTCCCATCATCCCTATATTTATTGCCCTTTTTGCCACTATTAACCCTCAGCAAGATAAGGGCGGGCGGTGAAGCCTAAACCCTAGACCCCAAACCCTAATGCTCAATGCCTACATAGGGTTCTCCAACAGCCCAGGTCTCATCGACCGCGTCAAGTTTGGCTCGGCTTGGAAGTTTGGGGGGGGCGGGTTTGTGACGCCCTCTTTGACCTGTAAATCGCAGTAATTTTTGTTTTGCAAAGGGTCCTAAAGCGGCCACGCACCGTCGCATGAAATGCGTGTGTGGCATAGCCGTCTGCAAAAACCTCATCTAATATCGACGTAGCGCGCAGAGTTTTTTTTAAACAAAGTTCCGCGCAGTCATGACCGTAGGTTACTAACACAAAAAATGCATGCACAATCTCCTGCAAAACGCAGTACATTCCGCAACTTTAACCCGCAGCACCTTCTCCCCACATAACGCTCCTGGAGAACCTCTACCGCAGCGCGAACCCTATAGCCCCCCGTAAGTAGATGGAATATGGCTTTGGGTACTACTTAAGGGGAACTCTATACCCCAAACCCTAAACCCTGAATAGTAGTTTCCAGTTTCTTTTCCATGTTCCAATTTAACCCTAATAGATGGACTATCTACCTGAGGGGAACTATATACACTACTATAATATAATATAGTAGTTTCCATTTTCTTTTCCATTATCCCTATACAACCCCATTAATATACCCATACTTGAGGGAAACTATAAACCCTGAAGTGCAGATTCCCACGGCCAGGGCAGGCTCTCCAAGCTGGCCCGGCGATGCCCTGAGGCTCAGGCAGGTCCAAGACATGTTTTAGGGTTGGATTTAGGGCTTACGGCTTACGGTTTAGGTTTCAGGATTTAGGGTTGAAGGGTTTTGGGTTTGAGGGTTTAGTTTTCAGGATTTAGCGTTTGAGGATTTAGGGTTTGAGGGCTTAGGGTTTAGGTTTAGGTTTCAGGATTTAGGGTTTGAGGGTTTAGGGTTTTGGGTTTAGGGTAGGGTGGACTTCAAAGGAGGACCCCAACGGTTGCAGAGTGTAGGACGTAGGGATTACTTACTGGGGGTGAGCAGAGAATAAGGGAACATATTATATAGGAAGTATATAGGCATCATATTCCCTTATTCCTTGCTAACCCTAAAACCCCAAACCTTAAAGCTTAAACCCTAAACCCTAAAACCCTAAACCCTAATTGCTACCCACCAGTGAGACTATGGAGTAGGACAATCTGCGTCACTGTGGATTCCTCAAAGCATACAGAATTAACGTTGACGGGCCTTCAGAGCCTGGTTAGCTCTCCTGGTGAAGCCTTCGTCCTGGGCTTTACCGACAGCTTTCCCAGTGCAAGCCAGAAGCAAGGAGTGTTTAGAGAGAGGGTCTAGGGTCTGCGCCCTTGGTGTATGGCCCTTCAGCAATCAAACCCATGAGTCTGTTGGCTGGGATTCTGAGTTTCTCTGATGGGCTGGCAGGTCTAGATCCCATTGCCCCTGACAGCTGCTTGCGTAGGTTCTTGTGATTGCTGCCTCATATTCCACAGAATCGGCTTGTTCAGCCACACCATGCCCGTCCTCGAATTACCTACAAACCTCCGGTAAGCTATTCTCCTCAATGAGCCATTGTGGCTTGATGCTGCGCAGCAGGTGCTTGGCACAATCCTGCACTTGTTCCTGGACGCCGACGCCGATGCCGATGGGGAGCCTTCTTTCTGACAGCGTTGAGCAGAAGACCTTGTCCAACAAAGGGCCTGTTTCAGGGAACTCAGCCTTAAGCCCAGTATCTGAGATTCACATTCTAGGAGATATCGAGAGCGGAGATGGCCCAGTGCTGCAAGAAGTTCAGCCAGAGAAGTCGTGCCCCCGGTGAGTGATCAGTAATTTGTTGCTCGTGCTTTAGTGCAGGAAGGGCCTCCCATGTTTCCCGAATAGACCTTTGAGAGTCGCACACCATTGCACAATTTGAGATGGGCAGTGGGGAGCCTAGAGCCTAAACTAAACCTAGACCCCTAACCCCAAAATCCCTAAAGCCTTAGCCCTGAACAAATTTGCTTCACCCAGAGCTGGGACTTTGAGATTTGCCGTCCCTGCAGCGCAATGCGCATGTTGAACTCCTAAATCCCCAAGTCTTGCCTGAATCTTGAATCCCCTAAGCCATTCTGAGCCCAAAGCCCCTCAAATCCTTAGCCTCTTAGACTCTTAGCTGTACTGTCCTTAGGAATTATTATTAACATCTATTATAGTATAACCTAAAGGAAATGTTAATTCAATAGTAATTTCATTATAGGTCTAAGGAAACTACAGCTACCCCGAAGCCCTAAATCTCTAAACACCTCAATTCCTGACCCCTAAGCCCTAAATCCCCAAACCTTTGACCGGTAAACCCTAAATCCCTAAACCCTACAATAATAATGTAGCAGTTTCAACTTTCTTTCCATTAGCCACATAGAACCCCAATATACTCTAAACCCCTAAATCCTTAAACCTGAAACCCTAAATCCTTAATCCCTAAACCCTAAATCCCTAAACCCTAAATCCCCAAACCCTAAATCCCTAAACCCTAGATCCCCAAACCCTAAACCCTGATCCCTACATAATCCTGAACCTAAGGTTGGGAGTCCTTGGGCCTCCCAGGAGCTCCGAGCTGGCCATCAGCTCATCCACATTCTAGTTTCCCTACGGTGTAGGATTTCGGGTTTAAGATTTAGGGGTTTAGGGTTTAGGATTCAGGGTTTAGGGTTTAGGGTTTAGGGTTTCACAACATAGGGGTAGGGTTTAGGGTTTAGGGTCTGGGGTTTTGAGGTTTAGGATTCAGGGTTGAAGAGTTTAAGGGTGTAGGATTTAGGGTTTTAGGGTTTAGGACTTAGGGTTTAAGGGTTTCGGGTTTAGGATTTAGGGTTTTGGGGTTTAGGGTTTAGGATATAGGGTTTAGGGGTTTAGGGTTTGCCGTGATATAGTGTTGAAGCAGAGATAGTCATGCCACAGAGTCGCCTCGAGCGTGTCGTGCCATGCGACATGCTGCTTTGGCCTGACTCTGGAAGGCCATCTAACACATTCACCCACCCCACGCTGTCCCAGGCGGACAAACCACCCAAACCTATTCCTATTAGGGTTTAGGACTTAGGACCTAAACTCAGTCGGGTCCATTTTGGTCAACAACACCACAC